CGCAGGGCGTCGCTGGCGTGGCGGCGGCCTCTGCGGAGCCCACAAGCGGCGGCGGCGGCGGGCCCGCCCGCTCGGGCCCGAGGGCACAGGCCGGCCCGCAGGCCCAGGGCGCGTGCTTGGCCGGCTGCGGGCGCAGCCTCTCTCCGTGCCAGGCGGGCCGCCGCCTCCTGCTCCTGCTCCTGCTCCTGCTCCTGCTCCTCCGTCCTGCCTCCCTCCCACCTCCCCCCCCTACCTCCCTCCTTTTCCCTCTCCGCCCCTCTCCTCCTCCTCCTCTTCCTCCTCCTCCTCCTCCTCCTCCTCCTCCTCCTCCTCCTCTTCCTCTTCCTCTTCCTTCTTCCGTTGCCAGTTTTGGCTCAAGCTGGGGGCAGGCCCTATTTGAGTGAAGCAGCCCCCAGCAGAGGGCGCTCCTGAGGCCAAATCAGGCGGACATCCATCTTGACGCTTGCACTCCGCATATCGGTGAGGCGCCAGCTCGCGTCTTGCTCTGGCATCACATTATGTTCTCACCATGGTGTCGATACTGCCGCCATGAAGGAGCTGCTGGCCGCCGAGCTCCAGCCCTTCCATAATCAGATGTATCTGATGGGGGGGGTATCATGTCTGAAAGCATGATGGACACCAAGAGGCTCGATGATCGTCTCTCGACAGGGATGGATGACGTGGTCAAGGATACGGCCTCACTACGTGCTGATATTCTTGCAAGTGTGGCTCGCACGCCAGCTCTTGAGATGAAGAACGCTTTCGGCTCTCGACCAGGCGCTGAGGGCGACCACTACGGCCCAGGCAGTAACTCCCTCCCCCAGGCACCCTCCCTGGTGGATGCCGCCCTTGCAGTTCGCGCCGAGAAGCTGGAGGTGGCGCTGGGTAGAAAGGGTACTTCGTCGGCGGGCAGTGGCGGGGCGTCTCTTCTCGCAGTGATCCTTGGTCTACGTCTATTCCTTCAAGCCTTCGCGGGCCTCCTCGCAGTTTTTCTCACGGGCGACCGCACGAGGAGGGCTGCAACAAGAAGAAGATCTGGATACGAGGTTTCCCACGGTAGTCGATGGCGACGACGTTTCAAAGATTTTTCTCGGCCATCAAAACGAAGATGGCCACCGAGTGCGCGATCTGATCCAAGCCCCAGGTCCAGACCATCAGATTCAGCTACATCATTCAGGCTGACAGCGAGGACGACGCCCAGCTCTTCCATGCCACCACCCGCGCCGACCCCACCTTCTTGACCTGGGCGGATCCCAGGAACGCCGAGGTGGTGGCGCTGAGGGCCCGGTGGGATCAGCCTTTCCCGATTCGCCATTTCTTTTCGTTCTCGGTCAGTGCTGGCAGATCGTGCATGACGAAATGAACTCCAAGAGTCTCTGGCTCCCCAGCTTCAAACTTGGCTCGAATCCGCTCCCTGGCATCCTCCGCCCCGTTCAGCGCGGCCACCGAGGACGTCTGGGACCTGGCGAATATCTCAGAGCACGAGGGCGAGAGTTGGACCACCTGCATCTCGCCCCAGGCCGATTTGCTCTCCGTCGGTTCCGCGCAGCCCTGCATCGACGCCCTGGCCGAGAGGGTGGCGACCGTCATGTCGCGGCAACGCTAGGAAACGGCCGAGATGAACACGGACCAGCGCAGCTCCCTTTGTGTTCGCGCGATGGGAGCGCGCCGCGCTGCAGCACATCGTCGGGGGCCTGCCCGGCCTGGGTGACGTGAAGGGAAGGCGCGACTTTGCAGCCCTTCCCCCTCTACCTTTTCCTCGTCCTCGTCCTTCTCCTCCCCCCCCTCCCCCTCCCCCTCCTCGTCCTCCTCCCTCTGCCCTCCATGTGGTACGCCGATTGCTCGCTCATTGCCTGGTTTGAAACATCGGACTGAGAACTCGTGGAGAGCCCTTGTTATCTTCGACTGAGAACTTTGGGGTGGTGTCGTGGAAATCGCAGGTCCCGCTCGGTATACCATGCCAATCATCAGCGCCATTGTCGCAAGTATGTTAGGTTCCGAAACCTACCTCGTCGAAAAGCATGATGTAATATTCACGCAGGAGACGCATGGCACGCGCGATGACTTAGAGGCTTTGAGGCGCGATTTTCCTTCCACAGTCATCTCGGTAGCCTCTGCGGCCCAACGAAGGCACTCGGTGTCACCGCATCGATTCCGAAACGGCTTTTCCAGAAGTTTCCCGGGCTCCGTGCCTCCGAAGTTGCCAGTCGACGTTTTCCTGTTGTTTCTCTTTACGGCCTTCCAAAACACCTCGCCGTTGGCAGCGTGCATCTGGACCCGTCGCTGTCTGCCGGAGTTGCGCGCTGTGTTCTTCATGGGCTAAGGCGCAGTGCTCCTCCTCGCCCCCGCGGTCTCACTTGTCTCGGAGGTGACTGGAACTTCCGAGAAGCTGACGAGTTCAGGCATGCGGTCGACGGCAGGCGATTGACCACCCAGGCCAATTTGCTAATGTTTTCGGCGACGTCGCTGAGGTTCCCCAGAAAGAACCGACCCGCAGGACTTCGATGGTTGATGTTGTGCTGTTTGTCTGCCGTCTTGACCGTATTAACTGGTCTGCGCCGACCTGCCGAGGCGTTCGACTGGCGCGCCCGCTCGAACGCGATTAGGTTCGCTCGCGACAGACAGACACGGATGCTCGGATCATGTACCGGTTTAATTCGGGGTGCTTGCGGGGCCGGTTTTGCTTCCCCCCATCGGCGGGCCACCGCTCATCCTGACTTTCCGAGCTGGGTGGGATTGTCTGGAGTGAGCACGAGGTCCGTGAAGACCCGTTTGGAAGCATCAGGAATTGCAACGCTGCCACGCACGCGGCCAAGGACGCTCTGACCAGGCAGTTGCATCGTCGTGGGCCGACTGGCGAGTAGAAAAAGATAGCGATCTGTTTGAGGTTCATGCGCGCCGCTCGCGCACGCAGTCGTGGCCCCCTCCGCTCGCGCCTTCTTGCTAGCCCTGAACTTCGTCTGCGCTGCGACTTGCACGATCTGTTCTGCGCTGAATATGAGGGGTTCCACGTTCTTGAGAGGCGTCAGCCGTGGCATAGTGCATAGTTGCCCACGCGCTTCAACGCGAGTGCACTGCCACTGGCGGGCACGCAGATATTGCGCGACAGCAGCGCACGCGGGCATTCATGAGATCATGGTCGCTCAAGAGACGGAAGATGGCAAGATCTGGAGTTGGTGGCCCTGTCGATCTCCACCTCCCTCGATCGCGGAGTCGTTTAGGAATCAAGCGTTATATTTGGCTGGCGTGCACTGGCGACCTAGCACATTGCTTTCCCCTGACCCCCGTCTACTTGTTGACCCATCCCGGGAGCTTCGAATTGTCTCACCCGGCATCCAGTGGGAGCTACAGGAGTTTGAGTTGAGGTCGGCCCTCATTGATAGGAAAGATCCCGCGGCGGGTCCCGACTGCATCCTCTACGGCCTGTGGCAGAAAGGGCCCATCGGTCCAGCGTGCCCCAGTCCTCGCCCGCGCGGCACTGCTGCGAGGACAAGCACCCCCCCCACACCACCGACGTTCCCCCGCGCCCCCCCCCCCCCCCCGACGACGACTTCAACGACGGGTTCCTCGCGTCCCCTCCCGGCGCTGCGGTCTCGGACGCGGGCCCCGAGGCCGTGCTCGAGCGAACCCGAGCGGGCCCGCGCGCCCACCCTCAGCGACGCCGATACTGTGTTTAGCAAGGGTTGCGCTAGCCGTCTCAGGGCACATCTATCGAAAAATGCGCCCAGGCCCAAAACGGGGGGACCCCGTTTTTCAGGTGACGGCGTTCAGCGATGCCACGCCACGCCTTGAGTGCACGAGGCGTGCAATGACATGCCGCATGGATGCACTACGCGGCTGGCACGAGCAGCTGACGCGGATTCCGGCGTGCGCGACGACCCTAGTTGCAGCGGCGTCGGCGCGGAAAGAAGGCTAATGTGGTGATAAAGGTGGGCCGCGCACGCACAGGATGGTGACATGCATGCGCAGAGACGCGCAACGTGCTCCTACTGAGTGCCCCCAGGCACGGTCAAGGGCCGTTGCGACGAGTTTGGCGAATGACATAGCTACGGGAAATCATGCACGCGCTGGTCCTGTGCACGCAGCGGCATGGGCGCACGACGCGCCACCGCTACAAGCCGGCACCAGGCGCCGGCAGGAATCGTTTTAGGCGATTCAGCCTTGGTTTGAAGTATGAGTCGGGGATCGCGCCCGTCACAGCGGCGCGCCTGCGCGCCGCGGGCGAGCTGGTCCAGCAACTGCCGCGCTCAAGAGACGCACCCGCGGCGCGCCTGCACGCCCTGGGCGCTCTGAATCTCACGCAGGGCCGACTGCGCCACGACGCCTCCGGCCCCATGCAATTCGCAAGAAGCAGAAGATGAACATCACCGTCCTGGGGCGTGATCAAATCGAATATCATTGCATCCAGACCAACGTCGAGCTTAACAGAGATCGTCGCTGAATGCTGCCACTGGCGTCAAGACAACACCACTGTTCTTGCCCAAGCGAATGGCGAGCTTGTGCAACTGGCGACAGGTGCACTTGGCCGTGCACTTCAGCCTGCTGGGCTCCGCCGCGTAGTCCATCTGCCCGCCGTGGCAGTTGGGGAAAGCGGCACCTCCGCAGCGCCAATGTCCTGCGTGTCCACGAACATGGCAGAAACGCGCGAGAACTGCTTGCACTCGGAATCGGAATCGCATGTCCTGTGGGTCAGCGCCTCCAGAGAAGCTGCCGCCGACGCAGCGCAGGCTGCGACCTCGGCAGCCGCAAGAGCGACAGCCGGACAGTCGACGGATCCAGCGGAGGCAGCGTCATGGGATGCCTTGGGAGAGACCCACCGCGATCTTCATCGCTATGCTCTCTTGCAATCAACTTCGCGCCGCACTGCAGCGCCTCCACGGCGCTGGAGCCCCCGCGCAGGGCGCCGCGCGGGAACTCGGCCATGGGCGGGAGCGGCCCGCCACCCTTCTCCTCCAAGCGGCGGCGGCGGGGCGGCGCGGAGAAGCTGCCGCCCGAGGGGGCGGGGGCGGCGCGCGCGCCACCTGCGGGGCCACCAACGCAGCTGCGCACATCGGCGAGCTCGCGCGCGCCCAGCGCAGCATGTCCATGGAGCTCGTCGGCGCCGCGAAGGCCCGGGCGAGCTTCCGGGTGACTGTCGGCGGCTCTTCGCGAGCCACTTGTGCCATCGGCCGCGGCAGGGCCTGGGGCGCGCGCCGCTGCGACTGCCCCCCGCGACGGTGGATCGCCGCAATCTGGCCCCGCGCCTCCGCTGGGAGCTGGGCCCAGCGCAGGGGCTTGACCTGCGGGCGCAGGTTTGGGCCCCAGCCATACTGCGAAGCCGTTGGGAGCAGAGACGTGCTCCCAGCCCCCATCCACCGCGTTATCCTCGGCGGGCGCCGCGATGGCCGCGGGCGCAAGCGGCGCGGCCAAGACGGCCAAGCCGCGCCATTCTGAGCACCCCTGCGGCACCGTTGGCGCCGCTGGCCGCGCGCGCGGCGACCCACCTGGCCGCGCCAGCCGCCGGCGCAATCGCGGCGCGGCCGCGGGCGCAGGAGGGGGGCCTCGCGCGAGAGAGCGAGGCTTGTGCAAGTGCGGCTGCATTAGCCAACTCCTTCCGAAGCTCGTGTCCGCGGCCTATCGCAGCCACCTTTCAGGCCCAGGCTCAGCGCTCGATCGCCCCCCTCCTCGACGACGTCGCCGAGCTCGAGTCCCGGGTCGTGGATTGCGCGTGCTTCTGTGGCCTGGGACTCACTGGTGTGATATTCTCGGACATCGCTTCGGCCTGCCTAGTTTGCTGCGCCGCTGGATCTTTCGCGCGCTCGCGGCCTAGGCGCCCCCTCTCACATCGTGGATGCGATCAGAAAACTTTGCTTGCGCCTTTGCGTCTCCGCGACGACGCGCGGCCCCGGCTGTCCTGATCTGATTTTCACGTCGCGCGAGGGGCGAAGCAGGGGGGGCCATTCTCGGCTTTGATCTTTGCGCGCTGGTGGTCGACCCGGTTGCGCGAGGACGTCGACGTCGTTCGGAGGCGCGTCTTGCACGACCGTTTGCTCCTGATGATGGCGTCGACATCGCCACTGGAGATATTTCGAAGTCTCGTCTTCTTGTCTTCGAGCAGATGCACGGGGCCGGCCCGATCGCGGGATTGGAGCTGAACGCGGGCAAATGTTGGATTGCAGTTGCGAAAGACGGCGACCCTATGGCGGCGGCGGCGGGCACGCTGGCGGCCGCGCGCACTCTCGTTGCTGAGTTTCGTCGTGGGTCCTGCGCCGAACATTTTGGCATCCTGCCTGGCGGCGATGAGTTGGACACCTCGGGAAGAGGACCTTGTCAGAAGTCACTTGAACACGTTGCGCATGCGCACTCCCTCAGAATTTCCATGGCGCGGAACACTCGTGCCTGCAACATGCTCGCCCTACTTGCACTCTCTCATGTCCGCCAGTTTCGCGCCATCAGCAAGCGCGCCACGGCCGCCAGGCACACTACCATGAAAAGATTGATCACCTCTTCCCAGTCATGCTCTTTCAACGACCCGCATCAAGCATCTCGAAAAGCTGGGGGTCGATGCGGTGCCCAGGGGCACTAGTCGTGAACATCACGCTGCCTCTTACCGGGCAGCCGCTCGCAATTCTGCATTATCTGATATCGTTGTGGGGTTCCATTACGTTGAGCATCGCGACCTCGATGTTCTCGCTGGCCCTCGTATGAGCGCATGGCGAGAGAACTCGTCGACCTCCAAGTTTGTTCGTAGCTATTCTGAGCTTACTGCCAAAGCTCCACATCTTGCAGAAAAATTACACTTGAGAAAACCCAATCAGTGGATGCTTTGAAAATTGATGATATGGATCTTGATATCGATTGTGCAATCGACAATGGGATCGATAGTGGAATCGATAGTGAGGACGATTGTAAGGTCGATCGTGAGACCGAGAGTGAATCCGATTCAATGAGATCGATAGTGAGATCGATCGCGAGATCGTTCATTGGATCTCTAGTGAGATCGCTTGTGAGATTGATAGTGAGATCGGTTGTGAGATCGATGGTGAGATGAATCGAAAAGTCAGTAATGAGGTCGATGGTGAGACCGATCGATAAGAAAATCGACCAGGAACCCAGGGACCCGGGAACCTCGCCGCCCTCCGAAATCGGCCCCGAACCCGGAATTGGGAACCCGGGAACCCGGAACCGAGAACCCGGGAACCCAGCGCGCGACCAAAATCGGCGGGGCATTTTCGCCAAGTCTTTCCACATCCGGGCGAGGACCCCTCGCAGTGCAAACACTGATCGGGGAGCACGTCTCGCGTCGCAGCCTCTGGGGTGCCGCAGGAGGCCCTTCTGGCCCGAGGCCCCCGACGCGGTCCCCGGCGGGGTTTTCCGGTCCGTCCGCATCCTCGAGCACAAGGCTGGCCCCTTCGCGGCCGTTTCCTTCCCCAAGACGGTCCGTAATGCCTGGCCCACCTACCAGAAGGTTCCGAGACAAGAGGCCATGTCGAGTCGTTTCGGCTGCAATCCCCTTTCTTCGGTGCTGCAGCTGATCATTGCCTTCGTTGTCCTGCTGCTCTGAGTTCCCTGCCTAGCGTTTTGCTTTTTTTCCCTTCGGACCACAGCTTCTGGGCCAGATGCGAGCATCTGTGTTGTGCCTTTGGGACCCGCCTTAACAGTCATAACATGCTTTCGGCTTCCGGGTGCACGACGTACTATTCGCCTTGTATAACACGTTGCGGCCCCCAAACCGCTTCGGACCTGTGCGCGTGCGTGCGTTGGCGCGCGCGCGTGTGTTGGCCCGCCGCAGAGCCAATATCCGAGATCTGATGCACCGGAGGCAGCCCGACCAGCGCCCTGTGTCACACTTCTGTGCGGTTCCGAATGTTTTCGCTTAAGCTGCCTATTTGGTGCGCGCGGGGAAAGCCCCTTCCGAAGGACGTGGACTGCCTGGACCCTCTTGCCTTAGGATGTGCGTCTGCCTCGTCTCTTGCACTTGGCCGCCCTCTCGTCTCGTGAGGCCCGTGCGTTGATCCCACTATTTTTCTCCTCCTGGTCTTCCCTCATCCTCTCCCTCTCCCTCTCCCTCTCCCTCTCCCCCTCCCTCCTCCTCCTCCTCCTCCTCCTCCTCCTCCTCCTTCTCCGCCTCTTTCCCCCTCCGCCTCCTCCGCCTCCTCCTCCTCCCTCCCCTCTTCCTCCTCTTCCCCCTCCTGCCTCTCCTCTTCCTCGAGACACTGCAGAAGAACATGGTCACCCATGAACGCCGAACGGGAAAACAACAAGCAAATTACACCAACTCAACGCGCCTGGTCGAGCAGGTGGCAGCCTTACGCGTCCCAGGCATAAAGCCCTGGGCTAGCTGCTTCAGAGTCCGCCCTCCAGGTTCGCTGGGCTTGCCTTTGCAAGGGGCCAGGAGCGGGGCCAGGACACGATTGCCGGCACTGTGCCCACAGGCTTCACACACCACGACGGGGTGGGAGGGAGCAGGTTCACCACGGTGACCAGCAGAAGCTAGGGACCGCGACGCAGCGGCAGCCCTCGGAAGAACGCTGCCCCCGCACTCTCCCCCAGGTGTAACCCCCAAGCACCTGCAGACACGGCACCGCGCAGCACCGCCCACGGACACCACAGAGTGCACGACCTTGGCGTTGTACAACTGGATGGTGGGGGCGGAGCGCGTAACCGTGGTTTTGTGGGCAGTGTCGTGCTCGGCGGTAGTAGCGCCCGCCATCGCAATCCAAAGACACGCGCATAACAAATTACCGACCTTTCACAGCTGGGGCCCATGCCAAGAAACACCATGCTCGCTTCCAGGGTGCCCTGGGTTTCTTGGGTTTCGATGGTTTTACGATGGAGAGCGCGAGGCTCCCACACCAAGAATCAAGGGACGCCCTGGGGTTCCAGGGTTGGGTTTCTTGTGGAAGGTTTCTTGTGGTTGGGCTCCTACTGTAGGAATGCCGCCCAAGCGAGGGGAAAGGAGAAGGGGGTCCTGAGGGTGAGCGTCCTGAAGGCAGGAAGGGACCCAGGGGTGGACTTGCGTTGTTCGAGGTACCTCGTCCTTGGGACCCCATCCAGTTCCCGACTTTAGGAATACTGCCCAGGCGAGGGGAGAGGAAAAGGCAGGAGGGGAAGGTCGGTGGTTCAAAGATTTGGTCCTGAGGGTGGGGGTCCTCAGGACAGGAAGGGATCCAAGGGTGACCTCCTCCTCCTGCTCCTCCTCCTCCTCCTCCTCGTACTGACGACCCCATCCCTCAGGACCCCATCTTTGAACGGAGCAGCGAGGCTGGGTCACACGCCGCGGCGCGAAGAGGGTCGCGCCTCGTGGCCTGGGCCGCAGAGATGACCCCCTCTCAGGTGCTTTTCGGGACCCCCCCCTCCTCCTCTCCACCTCATCTCCTCCTCCTTCTCCGCATCCTCCTCCCCTCCACTTCTCCTCCTCCCTTCTCCTGTCCTCCTCCTCCTCTTCCTCTCCTTCTCTTCCTCCTGCTCCTTTCCCACTTACTGTTCCTGCACTCCAACTGTTCTGCTCCTCTCGCCCCTCCTTCCTCCCCCTCCCTCTCCTTCTCCTCCTCCACCTCCTCCTCCTCCGCCTCCTCCTCCTCCTCCACCTCCTCCTCCTCCTCCTCCGCCTCCTCGTCCTCCTCTTCCTCCTCCATTGCTGTTCCTTCTTGTTACTTCCTCCCTGTCGCGCCCTGAGGCCAGTCGTAAGGGCGGGCTGGGCGTTTCGCCTGAGACTTCCTTGCGATGTCTGATGTTGAAGCCTAGAATTGGCTGCAGTTTGGCAAACAGAGGGTGGGCCGCTTCTAGAATGATGTTCTCGCCTGTGCGCACACTCGTGTTACATGTTTGCAAGAGCTTCGTGGATCGAGGGCGGAAGAACTTGGCTCTCGCCTTGGCGCCGCGCACATTCGTTTCAAACGTTTGCAGCAGCTTCACGGATTGAGGGCGGCTCCTTTTCAAAATGTGGTTCTCGCCTTGGCGCCGAACACATTCGTCGAACAAGTTGCAAGAGCTTCACGGATAGATGGCGGATGGTTTTTCAACATGTGGTTCTCGCCCTAGCGCCGCGCACATTCGTCTCAAAAGCTTGCAGCAGTTTCACGTATTGAGGGCGGCTCATTTTCAACATGTGGTTCTCTCCTTAGCGCCGCGAGCATTCGTCTTCAAGTATTTGCAAGAGTTTCATTGCGTCCGGAGCTTAACGTAACAGAAATAAGGTTTGGGAGTGATTACGGCGCAACAGTTGCGGTGATTGGCGGTGTTGGTGTCCCAGGAACGATGTGTTGGCGCGACTCCGGATTGCCAAGACGCAATAGTC